AAACCCAGAAGTGTTTTTCTGTGCAGCACTGGACAGATGGTTGTCACACTGTGACTGGCATGTGTCACTCTCGCTGAGCACCAGCCTTGGCTTTGTTTGTACCCTGGGCCCTGCTAGCCCCCCAGGGTGGCTGGGTGCTGCTGACCCACAGCTTCCTGACCCACATGCTTTTTGCTCACAGACCCCTTAGCCAAGCAGAAGGGAATCGTGAGCTGCTCCCAACTTGCCCGCAAGATGTGGACAGCCCTTGTGATCGTCTGGGCTTTCTGCGTGCCCTCCTCTGAAATCCAGGTGGCACCAGATTCTTCAGGTAAGTGATAAACAGGTCGCTGGATAGGCCCATGGTGGCTCCGAGCTCCCTGAACTCCAAGTTTGCAGGCCCAGGCCAGTGAGTCAGGAACCCCAGCCTTCCCAGAGTGTTGGGCTGGGAAGGTCCTTCAGACCGAGTCTCCTCTCCATGGCCAGCATGAGTAAGTACCTCCAGCAGGACTGCACAGCTGAGTCCCCTAAGGGTCACTTTTTCATCTCCAAGATGTCGAGAGGACATCTGTGGTGGGAATCTCTGGGCAGCCATCGGCCCCTGCTCTGCACACCTGGGCGTGGGTTTAGTGGGCTGACATAGAGTAGGTGAGACCAGCTGAGGCTCCTATTTTGGGAACTGGAACAAACAGTGTAGGTGCTGTAAGTGGGACACCGCACTGGGGGCTTTAATGAACCTAAGTCTAGTTTCTCACAGTTCAGGAGGCATCAGCTTTTAGGGGAGGCTCTCTGTCAGCTCTGGGGGATTCTGCTCCTCGGTTCCTTGGGAATCTTCATGAGGCCTGGGCTCTCCTTTTGTATCGCAGGAGTGATTGGCTTAAGACACACCTGCACTTACTATCACATTAATCTAACAGATCCCAGCTGGGATTGTCTCCACGTGTGTATTCTTGATTCTGACTCCTAGTGCCCCCCCCACCCCCCCCCACAACAGAGTAGAACTGCCCTACGGTGCTGTCTAGTCTCTAGTCTTTACGGCCACCACTCATCTGTCTGTTTGTCGCACTGTGGTGGCTTGCGTGTTGCTGTGATGCAGGCAGTTTTGCCAACAGAATTTTAAATAGTGGAGTCAGCCAGGATGAATAGGTCTCAGCTGAGCTTCTAGACTAAGCCAGACTAGGAAGGAGAGGTGGGCTACTTCTAAATGCTCAGCCACTGAAAACCTCACGAGTAGCAACAGAGCACACTGTCAGCTCTAGTGGCAGAAGGTGAGCCCTGCAGGTCGGTAAGCCCTCAAAATAGGACTAGAGAAGAGCTGCCCCCTGACCAGGGTAAACACGCATGGAGTAACGCTCCCAGAACCTTTCTTTGCTGATGGGGCACAACTCCAAATGAGAAACAGCTGCAAATATTCATTAATACATGGACTATGGAATGTATGAAGTATGAAGATAGGAAAATTGGAAGTTGTCAAAAATCAAATGGAACACATAAACATTGTGTTTACTTAGGCACATGTGACCTGAAATGACTGGTATAGGCCACTTTGAATCTGACAATCAAATGGGCATGCCGAGGGCGACAGATTGAAGTGGAATGGCGTAGCATTCATCACCAAAAAGAACATTTCACGATCTAGTCGTATAATGCTGTCTGTGTTAGGATATATCCATCTGCCTACAAGGAAGATCAATTAATACCACTATTATTCAAATTTACGCACCGACCACTAAAGTCAGTGATGACGAAATTGAAGAATTCTACCCACTTCTTCAGTTGATCAAACTTGCAATCAAGATGTGGAGGTAATTGCTAGTGATTGGAATGCAAAAGTTAAAAACAAAGAGGAAGGATCAGTAGTTGGAAAATGGCCTTGGTGATAGAAATGATGCTGGAGATTGCAATGATAGAACTTTGCAAAACCAATGACTTCTTCATTGCAAATATCTTTTTTAAGCAACATAAAAAACTACTATACACGTGGACCACACCAGATGGAATACACAGAAATCAAATTGACTACATCTGTGGGAAGAAATGGTAGAAAAGCTCCATATCATCAGCAAAACAAGACCAGAGGCAGACTGTGGAACAGACCACCAATTATTCATATGCGAATTCAGGCTGAAGCTGAAGAAAATGAAAACAAGTCCATGAGAGCTAAAATTTGACCTTGAACATATCCCACCTGAATTTAGAGATCATCTCAAGAACAGATTTGATGCATATAATACACTGATGACTGAAGACCAGGAAGAGTTGTGGGATGACATCAAGGACATCATCCAGGAAGAAAGAAAAAGGTCATTAAGAAGAAAGCAGGAAAAGACCAAAATGGATCTCAGAAGAGACTCTGAAACTTGTTCCCTAGCCTAGAGATACTAAAGCAAATGGAAGACATGAGATAAAAGAGCTGAGCAGAAAGTTTCAAAGGGCAGCTTGAGAAGACAAAGTCAAATATTATATAAGAAAACATGCTAAGACCTGGAGATAGAAAATCAAAGGGGAAGAACATGCTCAGCATTTCCCAAGCTGAAAGAATTGGAGAAAAAAATTCAAGCTCTGACTTGCAATATTGAAGGATGAACTCCTGGTGTGGCGTTGTAGGATCAGTACTGGACTGGGAACCACAGGGTCGACAGTTCAAACCCACCAACTGCTCCTCGGAAACCCTCTACAGGGTTGCTGTGAATAGGAACTGACTCGACGGTACTTAACAACATGGGCAAATCATGATGCAGAAAGACCACTGTTGTAAGAATTAAATTAAAAAAAAAAGTTTTCTTGATAAATGAAACATTCTGGGAAGGGTAAAAGGAAAATTAAAGTGGCTAGCAGTAACTGATGGTGTAGGGAGTGGGTTGCAATCACCATAATGACACAAAGTGGTATAATTTGTAGAATGTGGTGCTGATGGTCTGTTCTGTAAACCTTTACTCAGTTCACAATGTTGTTAAGTGCTGTCGAGTTGGTTCCAACCCATGGCGACCCTTTATAGGACTTCCAAGGAACGGCTGGTAAGTTTGAACCACTGACCTTGAGGTTCTAAACCACTTTGCAATCCAGTGCATTAACCAGTCAGTGCTGCACCAGCACGCATCCGGGGTTGCTCTGACATGCTGCAATAGGCAGATAAGCTGCACATGACCTCTTTAAAGTGTTCAAGAGCAAAGATGTCACTTTGAGGACTATTATGTGCCTGACCTAAGCCATGGTATTTTCAATAACCTCATATGCATGTGAAAGTTGGGTGATGAATAAGGAAGACCATAGAAGAATTGATGCTTTTGAGTTATGGTGTTGGAGGAGAATATGGAAAGTACCTTGGACCACCAGAAGAACCAATCAAAAAGTACATCCAGAATGTTCCTCACAAGCCAGGATGGCAAGCCTTTGTCTCTCATTCTTAGGATATATGATCAGAAGGGACTTATCCCTAGAAAGGACATCGTGTTTGGTAAAGTGGTGGAACAGAAGAGGAAGGCCCCCCGGTGAGATGGATTGGCACAGTGGCAGCAGCAGTGGGCTCAGGTGTAGCAACGATTGTGAGGCGGGTACAGGACTCGGCAGTGTTTCCTCCTCCTGTTGAGCATAGTGTTGCTATGAGTCAGAACCAACTCCATGGCCCCTAACAGCAACAACAGGTCTTTATAGGAGCAGATCACCAGGCCTTTGTTCTGAGGGGCCTCAGAGTGGGTTCAAACCACCAACGTTCCAAATAGCAGATGAGAGTGTAAGCGCTGTACCACCAGGACCCATGCTCCCCTGTGTAGAGGTTAGAATTTGTACCACATATTTCTGGGGGACACAGTTCAAGAGTCCCTAATGGCGGGGAAGAGAGGTAAAAACAGCAATGAAGTTGTGAACTAAGTCTGACCACATTCAATAAACTCCTGTTTACCTGGATTGAGACCTGGTTAACCAGCAGTATGACGAGACCTGGGGACTCCTGGCCCCAGGGGCAGGGACATGGCCCAGAGGACTAGAACGTAGTGTGAAGCATCCAGCTGATATAAAGAGAGGGGGGATGCACAAGAACACCCATACTTGTAGATAGTACCCATTTGACCTGGCATCAATGGCTGGATGATCAGAGCATGACTAGAGGAAGAAAGAAGAAGGAAGGAAATAAATAAATAAGGCAGTAACCCACTATAAGTGGATGAACTTGACCTACGCTTGTGGATGCAGTATGACAAAGGAGCGGACAAATCTCTACAGTGAGGATCATTCCCACCCCCTTGGTACACAGGGTCAACAGAGAGGGGGAACTTAGACATTGGCTACCCAAAATGGGGGGACTGCAAAGGCAAGAAGTGACTGGCTTATAAACTCAAAAGGAAACCTAGCTCCAGAGGATACAGGGAAAGGTAGAACCGCCACTGAATTGTTTCCAACCTGTCTGAATGGGGTTGATAAAAGGTGAGGGGGAAAGGACTCCTGTGGTTCAATAGGGAATGATTGCTATCAGGTCTGACAGAGAGTGTTGGAAAGGTAAATGTAAAGGTTTGGTAACATAAGGAGGGGAGTGGCTGATTTTGCAATCCAGGAGTGGAGATCCCTGGAACCATCAAGGGAGAAAAGCAAAGTGTGAGACCATGTCCGGGGAGAGGCAATGAGGAGGAACAGAAGGAGTGGCTGGGGATTCTGGACTTAGGGAGGGAGAGGGGTTGTGTGCTGGTGGCCGGGGGCAGTAGTGTGGGTTGTACCCTTTGGGTGTTTGATGATGCATGCAGGGGATTGTGATCATTGCAGTGAAACAAAGTATGATAGGATGAATGTAAAGATAATGTTCACCCATGTAAACACATAATTCACAATAAAAACTTTAAAAAAAAATCCGATGGTAAAGTCCTTAACCCTTTGATGGGCATGAGATTCAGAGAGGGTGAAGGAGTGTCTGCAGGAGGTTGAGGGAGAGGAATGTGTCTCCACAACACCTGTCCTCACGCTCTGGGGGCTGGTACTTAACGTCCACCTCTACTTTGCTTTGACTTGAAGGGAACCTGGTCCCTAACGAGATGGCGAGCCAGTCAGTGAAGAACAGCCCACCTGTGGGGACTGCTGCACGGGTTGGAAACAAGACGTCTGGAAGAATAACCACAGTGATGCCACCTCCTGTCACACGAACCAAAGGGGCTCCGGTGGTCACCACCAACTCTACTGCAGTCTCAACAGACACAGCAGAAAGGGCAGCGGTGGGCGTGGCAACAACTGTGGTACCTGTGACCAACGTCCCGACCCCCAGTGCCTCCATGGGGCCCGCATTGTCCTTCCCCACGTCTGCCACGAGGACTCTTCCCACTCTGGACACCAGGCACCCACCTCCCAGCACACCCCAGGCCCACGTGCCAGGGAGCAGCAGCACATCACCAGAAACAACAGTCGTGACAACGCAAGCCCTGAGTGGCAAGACAGTGGCCATGTCAAATGCAAGTGGTCCAGTCAGCACGCACAGTCCTTCCAAACCCATGACAGGCAACTCCACAGCAGACCTCAGACCCCCCACAAGCCCCCAGGCCCCGAACACAACTGCACAAGGCCCCACCCCCCAGGCGTCAACAGGCCAGCCTACGGCCACCACAGCAGGTCCGTCCACACCCACTCTGTTGGCGACAACCCTCAAGCCCACCACAGTCCCCTCTGTGTCTTCAGTGCCCACGACAACAGCAGCCACCACCAAGGCACACGTGAAGGAGCCCACCGCCAACACAGCGCCAGCACCTCACACCAGCCCGGCCCCTACAACCCAGATGCAGCCAAATCTTACACCATTGACCCAGGGGCCCACAGAACTAGCCTCCACCCAGACCCTGGGGCTGATGGGGACAGAAGCCAGGCCGGGTACTGCTCCGACTGGGCCAACACTCGGGGCCTCCAAGCTGCCGGCTACAGACGCTTGTCAGCTTAGCACCCAGGGCCTGGTGGTCACTGCTGAGCCCATGGCCCCATCCCTGAGCTTTCTCTTGACGGTGCTGCTCCTCGGCGTGACCCTGTTCATCACCGTCCTGGTTTTATTTGCCCTGCAAGCCTATGAGAGCTACAAGAAGAAGGATTACACACAGGTGGACTACCTAATCAACGGCATGTATGCCGACTCTGAAATGTGAGTCCCGGGAGGCCACCGGCAGCCGCTCCCCAGCCGCTCAGGCCCCTCCCTGCCCTTCCACTTTGCCAATGAGAGCAAACCAAGTGCTTCCAAAATCTTTTGGTGCAATTTAGGAGATCCGCCAGATGCTTAACACTTGTATAATCGCTGCCCAATTAACTCTGTGATCACTAAAAGAGTCGCTGCTTTTTTCATATTTATTTTTATAAACGATCATATTGACAGTTGCGGGTGATAAATTTAATTCTGCCGCTGAGTCGGACAGGTGGGCCATCTGCCCTGGTGTAGCAGACACTAAGCAGAATTAAAGCAATGACGTTTCCCATTGAGACAGCATCTCTCTCCATTTGTAACATTGTTTTCTTTGAAATGGGTATGATGGGTTCATTTTAGTAAATAATTTCATGAACTAGGAGGCCCCAGGGGTCCTGCCCACACCTGCCCCAGGGACCTAGCAGAAGCCTCTTGGAGCCAGTAGGCGGAGACCCCTGAAAAATGGGAGATGGATCCCCGTCTGGGCCATAGACTGCTAGGGGGTGACCATTTGGATCCTGTGTTGGTGATGAAATCCTGAGTCCAACTTGTAAACCACAGGTGAGTGCACCTGCCCAAACCCCACAGAGTAGACAGGTGCTCCGCTGAGATGGAATCTTAGCATCCTGGCATCGAGCACCTGTGCCAGCCCACAGCGTTGAAACCCGGCAGCTACCTTCCAAGTGGGGCCATTGTTACTGAGTCTGGAGAGACTAAGGACCCTGGGATAGAGGGAGCAGGAGCAGGGATTGGACGCCAGGCTTGTGAGGTCAGAGCCCACAGAGCAGAGTATGCAGCTTGTGACCCTCCAGAGTGGCCTCGGGGGTTACAGGGTTACAGGGGTCAACGTCGAGGGCACTCTGCCAAGTACAGAGCTGACTCAGCAGCAGTCAGCTCAATGGCATGTCAGGCACTGAGCCTTCGTCTGGACCCTAGAGTAGCCCTGGTAGCACAGTGGTTAAAGCACGTGGCTGCTGACCCAAATGTTGGCGGTTCAACCCCATCAGCAGGTCCACAGGAGAAAGATGTGGGATGTCATCCCACAGTTTTCCTGGTATCCTGTTGTTAGTGTCCACATATCAAATGTGTTCTTGAGGTGGCCTCTGAATTCAGGTGGGATATGTTCCAGGTCATATTTTAGCTCTTCAGCTTCATCCTGAACTTGCATATGAGCAATCATTGAGGGTCTTGTTCCATAGTCGGCCCATAGTGACTGTGCACACAGAATAAAATCCGGCCCGACCCTGTGCCAGCCCCACAAGTGTTGTTAACAGTTGAGCCCATTGCTGCTGCTGCTATGTCTGTCTGTCTCGTTGGAGACTAAACATCTCTTTTGATGAAGGACAGAACAACTAGAAATTCAGCAGACACAGAAGATGTAAACAACACAACCGACTTGGACTCATGGGGAGAACACTCCACCCAAAACCAGCATAATACACAGTCTTGTCCAGTACATATGGCTCATTCTCCAGAATAGCCCATCTATGAGGCCACAAAGCAACATCTATTAATTTTAACATCAAAACAGTGCAGAGCATCTTCTTGGATCACAACACTATAAACGTAGAAATTAGTAACAGGAAGAACAAGGGGGAAAGTCAAATCCATGGAAACAATACCACCTTACTTTAAAAATACTGGGTAATAGAACGAATAATGAAATTTAAAAATTCCTGGAATCAGATGAGAATGAAATTGCAACATAGCAAAATCTTAGGGACATGGCAAAAGCAGTTCTCAGAGGTCAATTTATAGCAATAAATGCACACATCAAAAAAAAAAAAGAATGGAAGAACAAAGCAGATGGGAGAACAATTAGGTCTCAATGGGCTAAGTGAGACAGAGGTAAATAATGATATATGCACAACCTGGGAACAACAGGGTTCTGGGATACAGAGATCGAGCCATGGTTGGAATGTGGAAAAGGGGGTAATAATATTAAGATGCTTGGCTGTCTTGAATCTTGGTTTTCCTTGCATTATATTATAAAATAGACACTGGAGGGGAATAGAAAGGAATAGCGAAAAGCATCACCATAGAAAGCTTGTAAGTCCGTCTTCTGCCTATAACTGATTGGAATACCTAAAAAGGGGCTACAATTATTCACTTCACTGGAGAATTTAACCAAGCATTCAGAAAAGAGATGATGCCAAGTCTACTCAGACCGTTCCTGAACATAGAAAAGGATGATACCAGAAGTAGACAACAGAGGCAGAGACAATGACATGGAGCGATGGAGAAGCTGGGGACTTTAGATCCAGAGAAGAAGAGGGGCTGTGTGCTGAAGACCGGAGTGGGGGGAGCATAGAGGGCAGTCTTGCAGGGTCTACCCTTGGGTTGGTTGATGATGCATGGAGGGGATTGTAACCATGGCAATGAAATGATATACAATAGAATGAATATGAATGTAAAATTAATGTTATTCCATGGAAACTATAATATAATTAACAATAAGACATTAAAAAAAAAAAGTCGACAACAAACCAAAACCAAGCCCACTACCACTGAGTAGATTCTGGGTCAAGTGTAGAACTATGTCTCAGAACTTCTGGAACCGTAAATCTTTACAGAAGCAAAACGGATTCAGCTTTCTCCCACTGAGCAGCTGGTGAGTTTGAACCACTGACCTTTCTGTTAGTAGGTCAATACTTAACCCACTATGTCACCAAGGCTCCTTGTTGTTAATTGCCATTGAGTCGACCCATAGCAACTGTAGACATCAATAAAAAAAAATTATAGACCAACATCACTCAAGAACATTGGCACAAAAATTCTCTACAAAATTCTAATCAATAGAATCCTACATCATGATCAAGTAGGATTTATACCATGTATGCACGTATCCCTAAGACAGGCTCCAAATGGTCACCACCACTTGTCAGTTTGTTGTACCGTGGTGGCTGATGTGTTGCTGTGATTCTGAAAGCTGTGCCACCGATATTTTAAATACCAGCAGGGTCACCCATGGTGGACAGCTTTCAGATGAGCTTCCAGATGAAGACAGACTAGGAAGAAGGAGTGACGAACTACATGCGAATGTTTAGTCACTGAAAATCTTATGAATCATAGTGGGACACTTTCAGCACCAAAATATTGCCCATTGAAACATGATGAAGAACACCAGAATATTGTCAGATACAGTGCTAGAAGACAACACATGGTGAGGATGTGGAGACACTGGAACTCCTATACCCCGTTGGTGGGATTGTACAAGCTCAGGTGTTGGTGCTAAGGATGCCAGCCCCAAACTTGTCCCCCTGCTTTATCCTCAAAACTGAGAAGCCCCCTGCCGCCCAGGGCAGATGCTTCAGGGTGGGGAATCAAGGGGCTCTAGGCAGAGCCCTTGGGTGATGGAAATGATTAAATGCTCAGCTACTAACTGAAAGGGGGCTGTTGGAACCCACCCAGAGATGTCTCAGAAGAAAACATGGCCAATCTGCTTCTGAACAATCACAGCCTTGAAGGCCCAGTGGAGTGGTGGTTCTCTGCACACAGGGCGTTGCCATGAGTTAAAATGGACTCGCCGGTAATCAATAACTTAACTGTACCAGGCTGACTGAATCTCACTTGAAGCTGGAGACCTGAACCTAGAGGTGTCCTCACACACTGTGGGAATCTAGTCCCTCCTGGGTCATCTACAGCTGGGCAACCTCCCACAGAAGCATCTACAGCTTGGGGATGGGTTTGGGGACATCACAGAGCCCTCTCTCTGTCCTGTTCCAGCCTCTGCTTCAAATTCCTTAGTCCCCTGAAGGAACTGTTCACACCCTTTGCTCTCCTTCTTTGGGGGTTGTATTCCCAATCATAGTTCTCCCACAAGATGCCCCAAAATCATGGCATCCAAGATGGGGCTCAGCGTCTCAGCACCTTAGACAGCCATCATCCACCCAAGCTGGGAGCTTTCGCTTCACCCTTGAGTCTGGTTGGCCATTCTAAACGTCCCTGCCAGGTGGCCACTCTTGCCTCTTGTCCTGCTCCTAGGCCGGCTCAGCCACCCTCCCTCCACCCTGCAACTGGAGTTCTCAAAACATAAACCTGGGTATTGGCCCCTTATCCTGAAAATCAGAGCCAGGGGAGACCCCTCTAGCAGGTCCTGGCCAAGCAGAAGAATGGTGTCAAGATTGCCATGATAGGATTGCTAGGTGGGGGTATCTCAGTGTAGGCCTGTCTGAATCAAGGGACCAGGAGGAGGGTTGAGCCTGGTCACCTCCATGCCTTGGAGGTCACCAGCAGGGCAGCTCTGCTCCCCACTGCCCACCTGCAGGAAAAGTGGTTCCGCCTCAGCCCAACAGGCATTTCTATAGAACTCTAATGTTTGTCAAAGTGCTTGCTGAGTGTTAGGGATTCAGAGATGCATGTGCAGGTCCAGCCCTTCAGGTACCCACAGCGTGGTGGGTGAGGCCCCCCCACCCACAGTGAGGAGGCAGGTGCTTAGAACACCTGACTCTCCCTGTTAAGGTGGAGTGACCCCAGCCTCCCTCTTGTGGAACGTTTGCTTCTGTGGGAGGTTGCCCAGCATTGGCATGCAGGGGGCACAGCTCCCATGTGATGCATTGGCATTCCAGTGAAATGGGTAAGGGGGAAATAACAGCCAGGGTTTGGGTTTGACCCCCCCACAGGGGCTCTCTTCCCTTCACAGTGAGGAAACTGAGGCATGGAAAGGCCAATCATTGGCCCAAGGCCACCCCCAGAGGAAGTGGATTCACTTGAGTTACATCAAGTCCATATGTCTGTCCACAAATATGGGCCAAGCAGCCAGAGGAGTGGAGGCCGCACCCTACACCTGTAGGTGGGGCCCAGCCCAGCCCCACAGCTCGAACCAAGTCCAAGGACGAGAACCAAGTCCTGGGTCTGTGTTCACTGTGACCCCAAGAACTCCCATCTTCCGGTGCTTCTGACCCGGGGAGGCTCTGTTGCTGGAGGCAGAATGTTCCAGGTGGAGCTGTGTTCCTGGTGCATCTACTT